CTCCTCTGTCCCCAGCCGTCTGTTGAGTGTTGTAAGAAGAAGGGGGGATGCCACACAGTGGTAAAAATGGACAATTCCCAACTTTTTTGGGATTTGTTGATGCCATGACATTTGGAAACAACAGATTTTTCCCTTAAAATGATACATTCTCTCAGTTTAAACTTTTAATCTGTGATTTGTGTTCTATTCTGAATAAAATATTAGATGTTGGCACCTCCACATCATTGCATTCAGTTTTTATTCACAATTTGTTTAGTGTCCCAACTTTTTTGGAATCCGGTTTGTATATATATATATATAGATATAATGTTTTTCCCCTTATACCCCCGTTCTCCATTTGAGATTTGGGGGCAGGGAGTGGGGGTAGGCCGCCTGGTTGGGGTCTGGGCTGTGGGTGGGTTTTAGGCCTTGGGGGTGGGGAAGCACTAGTGAGTTTCATCTAAAAGTTTCATCCAAACCATCCACATGTCTGCTAGATCCCATCCCAACCAGGCTATTTAAAGACATATTTCCCTTAATTACCGGTAATAACCACATCTTGGATCTGCTTAATTTGTCTCTAATTAATGGTTACGTACCACAGCATTTTAAGATTATATATATAATATCCTATAATATATCCTATATTATTATTTAGTCAGAAAGAAACAAGCCATAACCAAACAGAACCTAGCTCAGTAAACAAGTCAACTACACAACAATGTGAGCATTCTAACAGCTTTGTTTATAAAGGTTAAGAAACCCAACATTTTTCAGTCAGGTCATCTGGACAGTTTCTTTTTTTTTGCTGAAACGTTTCGCTTTCGATCCGGACGGCTTCATCAGTCAAGGAAACACAACAAAACTGATTCTTTCCCCAACAGCTTACTCCAAAGTGGAACAAAACAGTTTTGTTGGTGTTAAGATGGTCTCTTTGGTACGCCCCCTCCTCCATTGCCAGCCCTCTTCCTTGTTGACAATCATGTCAAACTGACATAGACCCTGTATTACCTACCAGTTATCATCCCATATCCCTTATCAATGTTGATCTTAAAATAATTTGTAAAGCCCTCTCAAAAATATTGGAAAAGATAACTCTCATAATACATCCTGACCAAACTGGTTTTATAAAAGGGAGGCACTCATCAACAAAGTCATGCAGATTATTTAATTTAATAGATTATTCTTACAGTAAAAACACTGATACTGCAATATTCTTTCTAGATGCAGAAAAAGCTTTTGATAGAGTTAACTGGAAATTTTTATTTGCAGCCTTGCATAAATTTGGTTTTGGAAATTATTTCATAAACTGGTTAAAAATATTATACAGATCCCCACCAGCATGCATTGGGACAAATAACCAAATATCTGCTAGCTTTCTTCTGCAAAGGGGCACCAGGCAGGGATGTTCACTCTCCCCCTCACTGTTTGCTATTTTCATAGAACCGCTAGCCGCAGCAATCAGGCAAACTACAGATATCAAAGGCATAAAATGCAAGAACATAGAGCACAAAATCAGTCTATATGCTGATGATGTGCTGCTCTTCCTCCAGCATTCACAAACCTCCCTCGCTCAGTTTATTGGATTGATAAACTCTTTTTCAAGAGTTTCAGATTACTCTATAAACCGGATAAAATCCACAGTTCTTCCAATTAATTGCTATTTCAACAATTCATTTACTACACAACTGCAGTCAGGGAATATTACATACTTTGGTATCAAAGTCTCTCCTTTATTGGCAGATTTAACAAAACTAAACCACATCCCACTTCTAAAGAAAACTGAGGATGATCTTGCTAGATGGAAATCTCTACCAGGTTGGAGGTGTAAAAGAAAAAAATATATTTGGAACATATATATGAGGAAGTAGACTATATTCCATTTAACAGATTAACACAATATGGGATTGATAAGAATACATTTTTAGAATATCAACAAATTAAATCTATAACAAAAAATAAATTTAACCTTAATAACACTAGAATTGAAATACCAACAAGTGTATTAGAATTCCTAAATCTTAACCCTCCCAAATTAATATCTAAGGTTTACTGGACACTCATTAAAATAGATTAATCAATATCCCTTCCCATTGTAAAATGGGAGACAGACTTGTCAGTCAACTTTGACCAAAACTTCTGGTCTCAGATATGTCTAAGAACTTTAAAGATGATTAAAACTCCAATTTCCAATTAATCCAATACAAAATCCTTCATGGAGTACACTACACAGGTCAACGGATGTTCAGGATGGGTTTTGCATCATCTAATGTTTGCTCACAGTGCACAGACAATATTCCTGACAATCACATCCACACATTTTGGTTCTGTCCACCTGTTCAGAGGTTTTGGTGCCGGATATGTGAAGACTTATCAAAGTGTCTGAGATGTAATATTCCACTATCTCCATCAGTTTGCTTATTGGGCCACTTAGATGATGTCACCTTAGAGCTCGGGGCATGGGGGGTGGGGGTGGGGGGTCGTAAGCCCGGGGCAGTGGCGCTGAACTGGGGAGGTGGCTTTGGTGGTTCTGGGCGTTGACCTCAGCTGGCTGCACGCAGGCTTCTGGGCGGTCTGTACCGGCGGGCGCAGGTTGCTGGCCTGGTTGCTCCTGGGTAGATTTGGGGTGGGCGCGGGTTCGGGGTTCTGGGGGAGTGTTGCTAGCGTGCAAGGGCCTCTCTGGGCCTGTGGTGTGGGGCTGTAGGGATGCCTGATCATTGGTGCGCTGGGTCGGCCTTCCTCAGCTGCTTCTCCATGCTGCTCTGGCCCCCGGCCTGGGGCCAGCATGCGGTCGCTGTCAGGTGGGTGGGGAGCATGGACAGCCCGACAGAGGATCTGTCGGGCTGTCTCTGTTTGGGTTTTAGGTGGTCCACTCTCTTGGATCAATTTTGCCCCCCCCCCCCCCCACACCCATTTAATTTGTTTTGCTCCCCCCCAGTGGTGCCCCCCCCCCCCCCTGCCGCAGGTGCATTGGCGTCTCTCAGCAGCTGGGGCTGGTTGGTGGGGTGTGTGCGGGCCCGCCCTGGTGGCTGCCTGCTGGGGCCTGGGTGCCCTGGCTCTGTCGGGCCTCTGTTGGGGGGTGGTATGACCTCGGGGCTCCGTGTCCATGGCCAGATCTACTCTGGAGGGCCGGGTTTCCGGTGGGGCCTGCGGACTCATCGCTGCAGCCTCCTGGGGTTTCTGCATTGTGGTTGCTGGGGATCGCCCGGGGCTTCCCTTTGCTTCTCTCTCTGGGGGGTGCGGGTGTCCCTGTTGGGGGACTCCCGGAGTTCCGGCCTTGGGGACCGCTGTGTGTCTGTGGTTCCGGTCTTCCCTGTGTTACCGTCGTGTCCTGTGGGGACGGATCTGTGGGTCCCCACATCCACTATTTAACATTTTTATGGAGAAACCTTATAGTGATAAGCATGCTCACACAGGTGTTTAGGTTCAGGTGTTTATCAGATACACACTCAATTGGGTTGTGGTGGCCACTAAATATATCTTGTATTACCATGTACTGTATAAAATATTTTCTAATGACATTATAAGTATCATTATATATGTTTTTTATTGTTGTGGTGTCTTGGTTTTTTTTTTTTTTTTTTTTTTTCTGCAGGTCTAGAGGGAGACTTCAATGATGATGTGTGTTCCCGTTTTCCCTCTCTCTCCTCTATTCCTATCTCCTTTACCTTTTAACCCTTCTCTCACTCTTCTGCTTTGTAATCTTTTTGTTTTTCATCCGCATGTCCATTACATCTGAAACAAGCTCGAAGCAAGTTCTAATAAAATTTAATTTATATATCAAGTGGAGCATTAAGGTCAGCCATAATGCTCTGCTGGTGAAAGTAAATATGTTGGGCATCACTTTGACACTCAGACAATAACTCTAAGTGTCACAATGACGGACAGGACAGTGGAAAAAAAAAAGCATAAACGAGGTGGATTATTTAATCAATAACCCCTTTTCCTTAATGTCTATTGAAAAAAAACTGGAGGTGAAGAGGTTGGGCCAGACAGACCTGAGGATATTCATATCCAGCAAAGAGAAAACTGTGCTGTGTATCGTGCTGAACTTGGCCGGATAGTAATTCAGCTCAGTCCAAATAATATCAGCCTGTCAGTTCGTTTTTTAATTTTTCTTGTAGTTCCCTCTGTGTTGTGTTTAATGATGACAGAAGACGAGCATTGAACTGAATGCTGTATAATCTGCATAAAAACAAAACGAGCACTGGTCATAATCTGGGCTCATCGCAGCGGGTACAGCACCTCGTGTCCATCTTCTCATTGAATGGAACTGCTGTACAATACACCTGTAACAAACCCCTGTCTAAACGGGAGCTTATACACGCACAAGAGAGTTCTTTAAATTATTTTTCAAAGGTTAGAAATATGAGTATGTTAAAGATCAATTTGTAAACAACAGTAAAAATATATGTATGTATATATATATAAATATATATAAAATGTGTCTCTTTTGGATTTATAGCCCTCCCTGGTGGAAACTCAACGAGCCGCCACTGACTGTTAGTAATATTTTGATAACAGTTGCACATGAAACAAATTCAATAAAGTAAACAGCACAATCATACAACAGGTGGACTGTGGTATAAAGTAGTTTTAGACAAACAAAAACTATACAGTGGCTGTGGCTAAGTGGTTAGAGCAGTCGTCCTCCAGTGCAAGAGTTGGGTGTTCGAATCCACCAGCAGTCACATGCCGAAGTGTCCCTGGGCAAGACAATGAACCCCTCATTGCCTCTGATGTGTGTCCCATCAGTGTATGAATGTGATAAAGCACTGATTGGTCTCTTTAGAATGATTTGTTTAATTATCTTTGTAGAGATCTAGTAGAATGCTGTATGATTGGGTACATGAGACACAGATTGTGGCGCTTTGAGTATCTCAATGAGAGAGAAAGGCGCTATATAAGTACAGTCCATTTACTATACAACGTATTTTTATTCAAACCAACAATTAGATGTAAAAATATTTGCAGAGAAGTAGAAATAGGAGAACAATGCATCACAACCAAGTCATCCTCACCGTGAATCCAATGCCGACTGTGGCAGAGAATGAGCCAGGGATGAACTTCCCCTGATCAAACTGAACCAGCAGAGATGTCTTCCCCACACCACTGTCCCCAACCAGGATTGTCTGTTGAAAAAAAACACACACACACGCAGATAAAAATCAGTAAAGGCCAAAAAGAGCCAATTGTTAAATGGGTACATCGAAACCAGGTTAAACCACACAAGGTGTGCAAAGAAACAACTCCTACGGGACAGCGTGATTGAATCTGACAACCAGGGTGAGGAGGAGCAGTGAAACGATGTTTCTAGTTGCTTAGTCACTACTCTTGTCGATGTTGAAACGTTGTTTATTTGGTTTTGATATTTGTTTCTGAGCACCTCAGTAAGAATGAGTTTTGTATGTATTTTAGTTGGAGACTGTAAAGGACTTTAACTATGCCAACATGCAGTTCACTTAAAACCTAATCGTTGAAGAGTCAATGTAGTCAATGCTACCTTAAGTACCATAACTTACATTGGTCTCACCATCTTCAAGCCGAACCTACTCGAACAATTCTATTCGGGGGGATAGCTAATTCTTTTTGATGAGTCTCGCCATAGACTCCAAAAACATTTATGGGGAAACCAAACACTCAATCTCAAGTCGTTCGTCTAAAAGGCAACAGACAAGTAAACCAACTATAGTGGCCATGTAAGTCTTAACATAGACAAAGTTAGCGATGGTGGTATAGTTGGAACACCCTTCTATAGGTATAGACCCCTATAACTACCCTTTTCAGCATGTTCCACCCCTTAACTGGTAGCTGTAGCTGTTCCCAATCATAATAGCTTACACACCAGGTACATATAGGTTAAGGCCTTATGTAAAATCCCCTTCATAAGCCCACCTTAAACCACTTAATTGCATGACACATAGAACCAGAACGGCACCGACTGGACGTCACCCAGTGACGACCTTCGCTGGAGGAGACCTGCAATCCTGACGTTGGTCTCCAACCTGCATCCAGTGGCCGCATCTTCAGTTCAATCGAAGGGAATCTTCTACATGCTGATCAATCAAAAACTCCAATCGTTGTGGATTTATCGTTGTGGATTATATGACTTTTTCCAATGGATAACAGACTTTGTTTCCAAGGGGTTAAAGCATTGCTACAATGGGATTACCAACAACATTATGGGATTACCTTCTTTGACTTTTGTTTTCCTCTTGCTGGATTACATCAAGCTCAAGGACATTCGGAGGCATAAGTTCATGTTGGAATTCATCCCCATGGACAGACGATGATTTCCAAAGGGGGGACTGTAGTGAACTAAGCCTCAGGTCAAAACCTGACCCTGAAGACCTTCATGGGACAGAAACTGTTATTTCATTGATTTGAATCCAGAAATACAAATTAGCTCATCCAGAGACTTTCTAATTTGTATCCTGAACTAATCAATTGAAAGAACACTCTCTTTTTATATTATCATTACTATTTTTACAAATGTCTTGATAATCAAAAGTGTGTTAGTTCAAATCATTTTTAAATGTTGAAATGAATCACTCATTTTAAATCAACTGTGAAACAGTATGAATGATTTTTTTTAATCCTCATTCAAAGTAGAAATCATTTTAAATGTCTATGTTACAAAGTAATTATGCATTTTGATCTTCTGTCTGAAATGAGAAGTAGTGATATCGGTCGAAAGTCAGAAAGAAGTTATTGGAACGAACTGTCATGTTTTTAAATCTAGCAGACGGTAAATAAGAAGCTACTTGCACCTGCGTCCTCCCACTTCGCCAAAACATTTCTCTGTCTGCTCCTAAACATTTCTCTGTCTGTTCCTAAACATTTCTCTGTTTTTCTGACTTGTAGTAACCTCTTACGTCACTAAAACCACACCCCTGTTGGTTCTTTCAACCAATCAGGACTTACCAGAAGGGACCGGAAACAGAACTCTTTAAAAGTCGACACTTCCTAGTTCCAGGGAGTTCTGGAGGATGAACCGAAGTTCTACACATGAACCGAAGTTCTGGGAGCACAGGAGAACAGAAGTTCCGAACAGCAGAACAAAAGTTCTGAAGTGCTGGAGTTAGTTGGGAGTTCTTCCGAGTCTAGTTGGGATTATGGAATCTTCCACGTCTGAGTGGAACCTCTGACGGACTCACAGCTCATGTGAGTCCACCCGTGAGGTGAGCGTGTTGTTGAACGGAGTACCGTCACTACTTCGGACGATTCTCAGCCATCCTAAGGAGACGCTGAAAGGTAGCGTTGAAATGGAACTCTGTACCGGAGCTGGCCTATCTTCTGCAAAGGTAACGAGTCGCTTCACTACCGAGTGCACCGAGGCTGAGCTGGGTTCGGATGGAGGGTGCCGTTCTTCGTCAACACATTTTCCCTCATCCATCTTTTCTCTCTATTTAAACTCCTTCATTTCCCATCTTTAAAACTCTTCTATCTCGCCAGTAAAAGATAAGCTAAAGTCTGCAGATATTAATTTAAGATATCTTCAGAAATGTCTGTTGTATTTTAGTTGCAAGTGAGAAATCATGGCCGTATGATTTCTCATTGTAAAGCTCATTAATTAAGCTGTGTTATTGCATTCAATCTGAATAATCAAGTGTACAATGTTTGATGTTAAATTTTGATTCTGTTAATAAATGACCACATTCATTTTGATGGGTCAAAGAAAATTAACGTCTCACGTCACTGATTAGACCATCTCCGACGCAGTACTTCTAAGCACAATATCACTTAGTCCAGAAAAATGAAAGAATCTGTTTAAATTAAGTATAATATCATGTACTTGAACTAGTCCAGATATTATAAAATGTAAGAGAGCACCCCTGAGCTAAATCCATCTCTCGGCTCTCTCACTACATCAACATCAGATGTTGGTCAACATTGTTGAGCAACATCTTGGGGTCTTCTAGAGTGAGAGTGGTTCCTGACATGGCAGAAAGACAGATATAATTAACAGCTTTTATTTATTTATTTTTCAGCTAATAACAACTTTTATTTATTTGTTTTTCATATTTTTCAGTTATACACAGCTTTTAAATATTTATTTTTCAAGTATTAAGAACTTTTATTTTCCCGATCCCGCCCGGCAGTCAGGCAGACTGGACAGTCTGGGACGGACGGTGGAAGCGATTTTTAAATAAACTAATATTTTTTTTTTAATACAAAAAAATGTTTTAAAAAATTGCTGAAGCGATTGAAAAAAAAAATTGTTTTTTTTTTTACACGTAAAATGTTTTTTAAAATCACGTCCACCGTTCGTCGCAGACCCGTCTCTGTCCGCCTGTCTGCGCGGGTCGGGCCTTCATGATTACGCACGGCTGGGGTCTTGGAACGGCCTTCTGTGAGTCACCAGCTGAGCTCGGAGCTGGGAAGATGAGCCTGCCCGTCCTGTCTCCAGAGGAGAGGACCGTGTGAGACCAGATATATATATATATATACATATATATATATACACATATATATATATACACACACACACACACACATATATATATATATATATATATATATATATATATATAT